TAAACCCTAAACCCTAAACTACTATGATAGCTGGTGGCCGGCCAACTTGGCGCCGCCGCGGGCCGCTGTGGCCGAAGGGGCCCAGGAACCTTCAGTGGGCTTTGGAGCTTCGGTCCAAGGAATTATAGGGTTTAGGGTTTAGGGTTTAGGGTTTAGGGTTTAGGGTTTAGGGTTCCAAGGAATTATAGTTCATTATAGTGCAGAGTACCATCACCATAATGAGGCATGGTCTAGTGTAGCACTGTATACAAGAGTATGTGGTAGTTTTTTTTATGGCATATAAAACGCGCAGAGGCATATTCTAATACGTTGCAATGTAATGTAGCATGTACGTTGTAGTATGTATTATTGCACAGTATAGTACATTCTGGCATGTTACAAACTAGTATATTGTCACATAGTAGCTACAGTATAGCATGCAGGCTGCAGGTATACACCAAAAAAATATAGATTGATTGTTTGGGGTGTCGATTCGGGCCCTCGGACCTGACCCCGACTCTCCTTCCCAACCTCCTGAGCCTAGATGGAAAAGTCCGTGCTTTCAGCGCCACGTCACGCCTTGAGCTTCCACATGAGCTTCCCGGTACCTTAGCACAGCACTAAGTCACTAAGAGCACTGGCAAGCTGACACACATCTCTTCCAAGGCAGAGGTGCAACTTCCCGATGGTCTCCGCCGTCAGGTAGGCCGGCCAGACCCCAACATCTGAGGCCCTGTGCGGGCAGACCATGGTTGGAGTCTTTGGCGCGCGGTCGAAAGTCGGGCAGGCACCCGAACTCGAGTCTGCTTCAGCAGCGGCTTTCCAAGTAAACAAGTACCGTCGCACAGAGCTGCGCATCCGGAAGTCTCCAAAGCACGTTTTGTTCCGACTGCAAGCACTCTCCGTTAAACCGAACTTGAACCTGGCCTTGCCGAGGAGGCTTGGCCCAAAATGCAGCTAGGCTTGAGAAAACGAAACGCACATGCTCTGGTTCACACCCTCACGAAAAAGGTTTTGACATGAAGTCCAAAGCCTCCTATAGCCATCGCACAAAACACGCCAAAAAGACCTCGCGGAGGTGCGCACGAAGAGCGCCAGCTCTGGGTGCTCTCCCGGCTCCTCATCGCTCCCGGCCCCCAGGCCGAGGACCTGATGCAGGCAATGCAAAGACTGCACGAACATGCATGCCTGAGCTACGCAAAGCATCAATTTCAAAGCTGTTTGTTCGTCTGTGCCTTTGTGTTTGCACACACGCATGTGTATGTATGCATGCGTAGGGGTGTGTGACTGAATGCACAGGCATGCGCGCGCGCGCGTGCGTGCATGCGCGCGTGCGTGGGCATGTTTGTTTGTTCGCTAGTGGGAAATCCTTAGCTGGCCCAGATGGGCCTTTCACCCTGCACGTCAAACCCTGATTCCTGAGTCCATCGAACTCGAAGCCGAGACTCTGTCCTAAGGATGCTGTCGGCATGGAGTGCTGGAGGGCCTGGGCACCCAAGATCTTAGCAGAGGGTTTGCTGAGTGCCTGCCCAACCAGAACCCTACGGTAAGTTCTTGTCCACTCAACTAGCTCAGGGCTTGACGCAAGCAGTAGCGCAGCAGTACTCAGCCATTCTTTGACTAAGGGCGCCAGATCATTACCAGGTGTCGCACGCATCACCACTGCCCAAAGGGCAGACATCAAGCATCATCAACATCAGCTGCCGCTCGGGGTCACGCGAAACGAGACCATCGGAAGCAGTCGCTTAAATCACCCAAGCTGCACAAGCCCAGCATCATCAGCATCAGCCGTCGCTCGAATCACCCGCAAGCCAAACAAGCCCAGCATCATCAGAGTTAGCCATCGGTCGAATCACCCACAAGCCAAACAAGCCCAGCACCATCAGCATCAGTCCTCGCTCGAATCCCCGGCAAGCCAAACAAGGCCAGCATCATCAGCATCAGCCGTCGCCCGAATCACCTGCAAGCCGAGCAAGGCCAGCATCACCAGCATCAGCCGTCACTCAAATCACCCAGCAGCCAAACAAGCCCAGCATCATCAGCATCAGTCGTCGCTCGAGTCATCCGCAAGCCAAACAAGACATCAGCATCAGCCGTCGCTCGCATCACCCACGAGCCAAAACAAGGCCAGCATCATCAGCATCAGCCGTCGCTCGAATATCGGCATCAGCTCACGCACAAGCCAAACAAGCCCAGCATCATCAACATCAGCCGTCGCTCGAATCACCCACAAGCCAAAACAAGGCCAGCATCATCAGCATCAGCCGTCGCTCGAATCACCTACAAGCCCAAAAGGCCAGCATCATCAGCATCAGCCGTCGCTCGAAAATCGGCATCGCACAAGCCAAACAAGCCCAGCATCATCAACATCAGCCGTCGCTCGAATCACCGGAAAGCCAAACAAACAAGCCCAGCATCATCAGCATCAGCCGTCACTCAAATCACCCAGAAGCCAAACAAGCCCAGCATCATCAGCATCAGTCGTCGCGAGTCATCCACTAGCCAACCAAGCCCAGCATCATCAGCATCAGCCGTCGCTTGAAGCACTCACAGGCCCCAAACAAGCCCAGCATCATCAGCATCAGCCGTCGCTTGAATCACCCACAAGCCCAAACAAGCCCAGCATCAGCCGGCGCTCAAATCAGCCACAAGCAAAGCAAGCCCAGCATCATCAGCATAAGCCGTCGCTTGAATTACTTACAAGCCCAAAACAAGCCCAGCATCATCAGCGTCAGCCGTCGCTTGAATCACCCGCAAGCCAAACAAGGCAGGCCAGCGTCACCAAACGAAACAAAGCCAGCATCATCAGCATCGACAAGTGAAACCTGACCAACATCATCGGCGCCAGGCGTCGCTCGAGATCATGTGCCAGACAAAACAAGGCGGCATCATCAGCCGTCGCTCGGGTCACCGTCGCACTGGTAGACCGAACGGTTGGAAGAACCAACACACAGGAAGGGCGCGTTTTCGACCAACTGAGAACCAGCTCGAGCATACGTAAAACCTAGGCATCTGAAGCTTTCTTGATGGCTCCTTGCAGCAAGGACCGAATGCTTCAAAGCATCTGATTCTTCAGTTTTTTCTTTCTCTGGTTAGTTGTCTGGGAGCCTTTAGTCCTGAAGCTGACGGGTTTGGGTTTCTTCGGTTTCAGATGACTGCAGTTCATCAAGACGTGGAAACTCTGGGATTTTCGTGGATCTCAATAGCTCTTTGCCAAGCCCAGGCAAACGACTCCTGCTTGCCGCATCACAAAGAACACTCTGCATTGCAGGCTGTCCAACCGAATCTAAGCAAAAGACACCGAAGCCCCGCTCCCTTTGAAAGGCACCTTCCTGTAGGCTCCAGCCGAAGACGTTGCAGGCGGCATCCAGAGCTCCCACCGCATGGCCGAGGTTCCTGAGTGCCAGAACTTCTGGCTTGTAAAGCCGGGGCACGCACGCGACAGTGTTGGTCAAATGTCAGTGAGCAGACGGTGTGCGAAAGATGCATGTGTCTACCTCATGTTTCCAGTCTGAAGGGCACGACCCTCGGAGACGGTTGCTAATCATCTGTTCGGATTGCTCAGTTGCATCAAGCCCGAAAATTCTGTGAAACTGTCATTGCCACCAAGGACCAGCTGCCTAAGAGCCTGCGGCTACTCTTCCCTGGCGAACATATATATATATATATATATATATATGTATATATATATATATATGTATCATCTACATCACCCAGGAAAGCACACCAAGCATGGAGGGGTGGGAGGCTGAGGGATCGACTGGAGGGTGGAGCCCTGGAAGGTGCAGGTGGGTAGGCGTCCCGGAAGTCCCCAGAGAGCCCCCTTATGTTTTTCCGAGTCTAAACTCTTCGTTCGTGTGCTGGCGCGAATTGAGACTCGAGCCTTCCCTGGCAATCCGGCCCCCCCCGAGTTATGCGAATCTAAATGCAACGCGTCATCCGCTTGACGATAGATAGATAGACAGATATATAGATAGATAGATAAAAAGATAGATACATAGAATAGATGGCCATATCTACATGAGACCCCACCCACCCTACGAGCATCTTCTGTCCATCTCCCTCCACCTGTTCCCATGTTTCCTGCCCAGGCGCAAGTGACAGGAGCGAAGCGCCCGCTCCCCATACTTCCAAGCTTCGCCTCAGCTGCACCCGTTGCATCCGTTTGGCGGCTTCGGGTTCACGGAAGACGAATGCAAGAACCAGGGGCTGCATTAGCCTTGATGGATCGATGATGGTAGAAGAAGTGAGAAGTGCTCTGGAAAGTGCAACCCAAAACAGAAGGCCTGCATACATGGCGCGAACAGAAACCCCTCTCGCCGCAATAACCCCACCACTGAAGGACACTTACAAACCCAAAACCATCAAGCCCAAAAGCTGCATGGAGCAGAAGTCGATCTCAGCGGTCTGGGCTCCACAAGCTTTCGCTACTTCCTGTAAGTAGAGCATGCCGCGGTGAAAGGGGCTTCTTGTCTCATGCAACAGGCAATCATCTGTTGCACCAAGGCACGGATGCACAGCGAGGTCAACGCCACCAGGAAGCCTGCAGATCCATCCGCAGTAGTCACGAACCTCTCGATGTTTCACACAGCCGGGACAAACACTTTCAGAGCCAATGTTAGAAGGCGAATTGCTGTTCTGACTTTGATTGGCCAGAAAGACGACCGGATTCCTCTGCCCTTCTCTCTGAATGCACTTGAACTGCATGGACCGGCATCGCCAACAACTACTTTGAGATGCCTACCACTCCAACTCCAACTCTGAAATTCTCTGCATGTGAATCAGTTCCCACTTTGCGGCTCCAAGGGCTCGTTGGGCGCCGGCAGCCGGAACTCCAAGGCGTGCATCTCAGGTTGGAAATGATACCTCCCAAGACGACATGCTGCCCTTGCTACAGAAAAGTTCACGAGATGGATGAGGGCCGCTAAGGCAAACGAGGAACGAAGGCCATGGGAAAAAAGGGTCGTGATGGGTCGTGGTCCCTGCTCTTGCTGCCGTGCTTCACCGCTGGTACTGCCGCGAGTCCGTCGAGCGGCGGCAGCATCACCTGGTTTTGGAAAATTGAACGTCGCAGGCGGAAGCAGGGTCGCTACTTAAGGACCAAAGCTTCTCGGGACCTTACACGGAATCGCAACAGAGGAGGGGCACGTGAAACTCAGTCGTCTGCAGGTTGCCGGAAGAAGGCATCACGCGCAAAGCCCACCTTGTCTCGGCGACGGGTCTCTGAATTCCAACTCGTCGATCCATGAACGTCCGATACAGCACAGTTGGCAGGACGACTTCAACCCTCAACTCGTGGAGCGTTTAGCGTTCAGGCTGGCCTTACAATGGGGCCTCCTGCTACAGATGATGCACAGGGGGAGAAGACAGGGGATAACAGTTCGAAAGCAAAGCAGTTGCACTGCCAAGTCGCTTGCCATCCTAAACCCCAACCCTGTCACGCCACGCCGCATATGCAGCCCATCGTAGCTCTTCCTTATCGCAGAGACGTGGCTGCGACCAAATCTGCTAAGCATAGGGTCAGGCTATCAACGTGCCGAAACCTGCCACCACATGGCTTTCTGTCAACGATCTTTTGCGCTCTATTGGCAGAGTCTTGAGTGTGCCAGTCTGGAAGCGCAATTGGCAGATGAGGTTGCATGCATGGAGCGTGTTCAAGCCGATGTGCACAATATCCGATGAGACTCTCCAACTACAGGAAGCCGACTTAAACAGTCGAAAAGCGGCCACAGTGGTTCGAGGCAGATAAAGCTGGGTCTTTCTGCCGACAGCTGTGCGAGACCACAGACCAACATAACCCCAGGCTCTTGTAGTTTACAGAACGCATCCACGCCCTCGGCTCTCGCATGTACTGGTCACTGGTTCAGAAACCTAGAGGTGACCAGAGGTGCTTTCAAGGATCCTTGGTTTTTCATAAAAACTTCCAGAGCCCCAGAAACCATGGAGCCGCCGCAACCTCAAAAACCTAAAAGAGAAGGAAGAGGCAGGTCTCCAGGCGGAGATTCCTGCACCAAGGCGAAGAAACGCACCGAGGCCTTGGACACCGGGTGTTTTGCTTAGGCACCTTTTCCCGTTTTCCCGTCCTGACTAGTAGGGTTGAGGGTTTGGGCTTCAGTGTTTGGTTTCGAGCGTGCGCTTCCCTTGCGGGTTGGCTTGGGTTTTTCGGGCTTGGTGTTTCGGGTGCTTGGTAGGAGAACTCGATATGATCAGGGCAGGGACTGACCGCTTGGGATTGCGACTGCAAGACGAGAAAAGCGGCACAAACTTGAGCATGTTCACTAGTAATTAGCAGCTGGACCTTTGACTACTCGCATCCAAATTGCAGGAGTGAATGCTCACTAGGGAGGTTTTCCATAAACAAGGGACCCCACATGAAAACAACAGCCAGGTAATACCCGCACCCCGACCAAGCCCACACGTTCATCTTAGCAAATTGTTTGGAGGAGCTAAGCACTGGCATTGCTGAGCCCAGCCGGGGTTAGCTGTGCCGGAGTTCATGCTGTGTCGCACCCTGAATGGTTTTTAAGCGGCATTTTTGACCAACCTTTGACTCTGAAAGGAGAAAAAGTCACGAGTCATTCGTTAAATCTGCTTCTCAGGTGCTGGCAAGGGAAAGCGGCACCGGGCTGGAAGCGGCCTCCACTCCGCCATGCCCTTACTGCTCTTACTGCCCGTACTGCTCCTGCTACTACTGACTACGACGGCGACGTCTGCTACAGTACTACTACTACTACTACTACTACTACTACTACTCCTGCTGCTGCTACTACTACTACTACTACTACTACTACTACTACTAGTACCACCACCACTACCGCCCCTACCACTAGCACCACCACCACCGCCACCACCACTACCACTACGACACCACCACTACCACTACCACTACCACTACGATTACAACTACGACTACGACGACCACTACTACGGCAACGACTACTTCTACTACTCCGACTCCTGCTCCTGCTCCTGCTTTTGGCTGCTGCTGCTGCGGCTACGGCGACTGCAACTGCGACTGCCGCTGCACTGCTACTGCTACTTGTACTGCTGCTGCTACTCCCAGTTGCTATGGTTTCTGCATACTACTCCCTGGCCTCCAGCAGGGCAAGGCTGTGCGGAAGCTGGACTCCTGAGGCCGCACTCCCCGAGTCGTTCTTTTGGCTTCCGGGGCCTCAAGCCCAGACAAAGAAAACCTCAAACCCGCGCATGAAGAGCAGGGGAAAAGGGCCATTTGCTTTGAGAGTTGAAGGAGCTGGTGGTTGGCCGGAGCTGGCTATGGCATCTCCACCTCCTCAACGACCCTCCCAATGCTCCGAGCACCCAACTGCCCGAATGCATCGAGTCTCAGCACACACGGCAGAGTGTCTATAGCCTATACAAAACACTCGCACGATCGTGCAGAAGGCCAATGGCAGGCATGCATAACGTCGTCGTGATCAGACGGATCATGATCAAAGGCTTCGGGGCAGCATTGGTAGCAACATGAGCATCAGCTTCAGCATCGGCACAAGCATGACCATCGGTCTCGTCAGGATTTGTTGAATCACACCCAGCTGCTGGGGGCGCCGTGGTAGCTTCGCCAGGGGGACGGCTGTGAGGACCAATCCTTCGGTGGAGGCATGGTTGTTGCGTTAAAGGGGTCACTCCTTCCTCACTGTCTTGGTTCAAGGCTTCGAGCCATGGTCTACAAGAAGCTCGAGGCCACCCACTAACATCCGACTCCAAGCTTAGTGACAAGACTAAAGCTCAAAGCCGTGTTTCGTCAGCTTGCGGCATGACGGCAGAACAGCTCTTGGAAAATGCAGTGGTGTATGCGTCTCGAGACTGTCTTCAAAATGGAGGCTCTGCCCAAAGCTGAAGGATGTCTTTCCAGTCACCCCACGTCGGCCACGTGGCTAAATCTCCGGGCAGCGATGCTTGAACATCCAGGAAGTGCTTGCTCCGGAAGTGGTAACTAAGGACAGCCTCCACTCGATCTTGCCTTGGATTCAGCTTCGGCCGCGAAGCTTTATGCCAAAAGAAAGGGGGAACCGATTGCGACGGGAAACTTGGCTATGCGCAGCAACCAAAGGATCCGCAAGGTCTTGCTTGTCCAGCTTCCAAAAAAACTCAGGGATCGGGTTTCCCCTGTCATTATATTACAGGATAAGGGAATGCCCCATAAGAAAAATTGCTACCTTGTATATAACTCACTCTACTCAACACCGAGTCGCAATTCCGCAGACAGGTTGGGCGACAAATCGCCCACGAGCTTCCGAATTGCCTTCAGAATCTCTAAGGCTCAAGCCTTCTACAAGGGTTCTGTAAGGGCACTGGGTGAAAGTTCTTGTAGGGTTCTACAAGCATTCTATAGAAGTTCAAAGCTTATATGAACTGAAAGAAGCCTCTGCTCTTGAGGCGTTCATGCTTTGGAGTCGCTGTTGGAGCTCTGCAAACCCGCTGAGCTTGAACCCGACATCCATCGATAGCAGCATGATGGGGAATGGATGACGGCGGTAGTGTGGGATACCGTTAGAGACCCTTGAAAACCTACATGCTGAAGCGCCTTCCTTCTGAAGTGGAGCAGTACAACTGCTAGAGGCCGTTGGCGAGACATACAGTGCTTTGCTTCTCATTTCTCAGTTAGGCAGCCTCCTGGGAAACGTGTGGGGCGGCCACCAATAATCGCGTGCACAGAACGGCGAAGGGCCGCCATGGTGCCATTGCGCGCCATTAATCGGTAGATCCTACCTGAAACCCGGCCACCACGACGATGGCCACGACACCGCTACTAAGGCTCTGCTTTTGCTCTTGCTGCATGCGTTCGTACTTTTCTTTTTTGCTGTGGCTACTGTTTTCACGTACTTGACCGACTTGACCTCAGAACTTGCAGTTAGAAACACCCAGTGTAAGCATAGAGAAGCCACCATGAAGAGCTCCACGTGCAGGTTCCCCAGGCGGCCTACCACTGCTTCAGGACTGGAAATCGGCCCTTGATCTGTGGACGCTCAGGCTTTTTCACGGGCTGTCCGCACGTGACAGGCGGTCAACCTGCCTTCTTTGGGTGGCTTTCGGTCGCTGCAGGCAAGGTCGAGAGGAAATTGTGACCCGCTCGCGAGTCTAGTCCGCTTGCCGCAGACTGTGGGTGTAGTCCGCTTCAGCTTTACTTTTGCCCTTACTAGGTCCAGCTGATCCTTCTCTGCGCGCAGCACAGCGCCGCAGGAACGATGCGCATCGCGGCCTCCTGCCCGTCACCTGCCCAGCAATCGCTATACACTGTACATTCCCACCCGGTGAAACCGACGTGCCGCGCAGGCACGAGCTGGCAAAATCAAGCCTCCCTGCCGGACTGTCCAGTGGAGCCTGGGAAAACCACACAAACAAGTGGTCCGCTGTCAGCGTTCACAGCTAGGGCGTTGCCCTTGCTGCCGTGGCAGACAGGAAGAAAATTTGCAAGAGATCTATGTCTCACCGTCATTCACCGTCCAAAAAAAGCATTTAACGAGGCTCCATCATGCTAAAGTTCGACTCTGTGATCTCTCAATGTCGTGTGTTTGCGCATTTGGCAACGGGCGCCGGCACCACGCGACGTGAACCAAGATGCCCAATTTAAGTTGCCCATCCTAAATGCACCCGGCTTCAAACAAGCCCTAAACCCTAAACCCTAAACCCTAAACCCTAATGCTCATCGTGTGGTAAGGCTCCCTTCACGAACATCGCTGCGCCAGGCAGGGTGGTTTCGGCGATTCCCTCAGGAGCGGCAGCTTCAAGAAGCCTGGCAAGGACTACATCTACTTAGATATATACTCCATATACGATCTACCCGTCTATCTATCTATCTATCTATCTATCTATCTATCTATCTATCTACTCTTTTGCTGCCTCCGCTTCGCAAGGACAAGCCCGCAGGGCAGGGTCGACAAGTAGGCACTTCGCTTTGCGGGTCTAAGGAGGACGTCTAGGGGCACCGCCGAACGAGTTGCAAGGGGTCAAAAGCGTTCCCTGAAACCTTCAGCCACGAGGTCATCCGGGACTCCTCTACAACCAAACGTCTCGGCAACCCCCCAAAGCCCGATGCCAGCAACCACGGAAGAGCAAGGAGGGCTTGGCGGGTAAGGGCTTCGGTGGGTTGAGACAAGCGTCCCGGGGTTTTGACAGACAAGGCCACCGAAAGGAAAGGCTTCGAGCCTGCGCTCGGTTCCAGCGTCTTCGTTGTTTGACCTTTCAAAAATTAGGGTTTCGGCGCTCACACTCGGCATGACTCAGCCAATCCAGGCGAGGCATGTGGTTCGAGGTTCGAGAAGTGAGAACTGGACAGGTTAGGCCAAATACACACCACAGCTACACATCAACACCTGCTGATTTAGGGTGGCCATCCCCCACCAAGTTCTCTCAACAAGCGACGCCTAGTTAGAGAACTCGGTGACGACAGTCGAGAGATCACAACCGTCAAAGGGTGAAGGATACGAACGAAACTATGATTAGCCATATATGCTAAAGGGTCGGGAGTGACCCTGGGTAGCAAATTGTGTGACCTGTCGGGAACCATCACTCAAAACATGGTTCAGGGCTTGTGGCTAAAGAGGGCTCAGATTTTGGACTGTATGGACTGTCCCATTCGGAAAGTTTTCAGGTTCAGGGTCGCTCTGGATCTTTTCTGCTGCTTTTCATGGAGTACCCGAATTCTCAATCCTCCATCCCAACTGCGCCCAAGATACCTCGGGCTCAGGCTGCACCGCCTCCGCATGCGTTTGAGAGATCTGCACCTGGAATTCTTGGGAGAAGCGTCACACAAGGCCTCAGCCTCTGAAGACTTCGGAACCTACGTGCTTTTCAGCCCAGGGAGCTTCTGGCTCGGCTGCCGGCGCCGGCAGTGCAGCGCAGGTTGCTGCGGCGTCTCTCGCCGACTTCAGGACGAGGTGTGAACGTGGCACATAGCCTTAGTTTGGGGTTTGGGGTTGCAGGCTCCTTGGCCGAATGGGATGCATACTCTCTCTCTCAGTCACAGATCCCAAAGCGCCAGCCTTTCGAGGTGTGAGGCTGGGCAGTCGGAATTCCGAAGATGGTGGAGGATGGGAACGTAAACACGGGGAGCCGGCATCGTCTGCCTCTTCCCTCGTCGAACTGCCCTCTTCCCTCATGAAACCCCTCTCGCATGGAGTCCAGCCGCCAGCAGGCAATGGCCTGACAAGTCTCAGGAGCTTCGGGGCATGAAACGCAACTTGGGGAGGAAAAAGCGGCTGCAGTTTCGGGAGATGGTCGACCGGATCTTTGCGACTCTGGCCTGGGCACCATATTGGGTGTGGCTGCTGTAGCCACAACAAAGTGGGAGAGGATTGAAGTCAACCCAACCGAAAAGGGCTATCTCGACCCTGGCCTAGGGCCTCAGCTCCCAAAAACACGAAGAGCCGCATCTCTGCCGAAACCCCTCCTTCCGAAGAGACACCAGGGGCCTGCGGGATCCCTCCTTTGCTTGCAGAGGGCAGCCCCAGGCCCAGTAGCCTCCCTCCTCTGGCGTGGGGAGGGCCCGGGATTCGGAGTCCAGGCTGCAATTAATGTTTTTTTTTTTTTTTTTTT